TGGCTGCACACTGGAGTCATCTGGGGAGCCTTTAAGAAATACTGATGCCATGGGGCACCTGGGTAGCTCAGTTGGTTAAGTGTCCGACTTCGGCTCAGGTCATGATCTCGAGGTTCATGAGTTTGAGCTCCACGTTAGTCTCTGTGCAGAGTGCTCAGAGCCTGGTGCCTGCTTCAGATTCTGTGTCTCCCTCTCTACCCCTTCCCCACTCACACTCTGTGTGTATCTCTCTCTTTCTCAAAAATAAACATTAAGAAAAAATTTTTTTAAAGAAATACTGATGCCAAAAAGACCTTTCTCCAAAGAAGACATGCGAATGGTCAACAGGTATATGTGAAACAAAAACAAAAACAAAAACACAAAACGTTTAATGTCATTAATCATTCAAGAAATGCAAATCAAAACCGCAAGGGAGATATCACCTCATATTTATCAGGATGCCTCTTATCTAAAAACAAAGGACCACAAAGCGTTGGTGAAGATGTAGAGAAATTGGAACCTTCCTACGCTGTTGGTGGGAATGCAAGACGGTGCGGCCACAGTGGAAGACAGTAAAAATGAAATGACCGTATGGTTTAGAAGTCCCACTTCCGGGTATTTTTCTGAAATAATTGCAATCGGGATCTCAAAAAGATATTAGCACTCTCGTGTTCACTGCAGCGTTATTCACAACAGCTGAGATGTGGAAAAACCTAAATGTTCCTCCACAGAGGAATGGTTAGAGAAGATGTAGTATATGCACACAATGGTGTGCTATTCAGCCAGAGAACAAATTGACGGTTGCTGGAGGCATGGGGGGAGGGGTTAAAGGGGTGATGGGCACTTGTGAGGATGAGCACTGGGTGTCATATGTAAGAGATGAATCACTGGGTTCTACTCCTGAAGCCAAGACTACACTGCATGTTAACTATCTTGAATTAACAAGTGAAATGAACTGATCACAGAAAAAGACTTCCCTGTGGGGCACAGACACAGGTGTCACGTGTCCTTCCACTTCACGTCTTTGTCCCTCAAGCTTTAGGGTCCGCGGCATCACCTTTGTCCTAGGCTTGTCCACACTGAACTGTCATCATTCAGATGCAGAAGGCAGGCCTTCTGTGGCTCAGCACTAAGGAAGAACTTTTTGCCAGTGCGAGCAGTTTGATGGTGAGGGAGGCTGCCTGAGGGGGCGGTGTGCACCTGCCATTGTCGTCCCTGGGCAACCACCTGAAGGGTCCTGTCGGGAGCTGAGGAGTCATCCTTCAACATATTGTGGTGTGTGTGTGTGTGTGTGTGTGTGTGTAGATGGCCAAGAAGGGTTGGGCCTAGCTACTCCTAACATGTTCCCAGTCCCGAAATTGAGGGGTTCAGGGGGCCAGTTGAAGCTCAGTGGGCGAAGATGGTTCTAGAAGATGAGGTCACAGAACTGGGAGGTTCCAGAAGGCTCTACGTCAGTCTGGAGCCTGCCCTCCCGCATCATTCTCTTAAAGCTGGGTGCCTGGGGCACTAGCACTATCATGGTGGTGTCCTGAGCTGAAGCAGGGTGTTGGGTCACTGCTGCTGCCGCCACTGTCGCTGCTGTGTCAGCTCTGGTGGGGACGACACCTGATCAGTGAGCCCCCTTCCCCTCTTTCTGCAGCTGTTAACCAGTCCCTGGCTGGCCTGGTCAGAGAGGGGCATGGAAAAAGAAAGGTCGTGGTCAGAAATGGAGGGGGGTTAGTCCTGGGCTGGGAGAGCACCCAGCTGAGAGAGAGAGAGACCTTGCTGGCGGGTGTCTGGTCTCTGAATTATCAGACCTCACTCCTTGTACACCTTGACCTGCCGTGAAACCCTCAAGATGAAATTAGTTTTAAATCTCTTGGCTACAAAAAGTCAAAAACAATCTCCATGTAGCAGTCAACTTGGTTTCTTCATCCATAAAGGGGGATATTACTCCTACGCCTCTCGAGTTGTTGAGAAGATTAGATGAGATTAAGTTAGAAAACATCCAGGAAAGGCCCAGCTCAGTGTCTGTCAGGTTTGGAGAACTCAGTGAGGTTCCCCTGACTCCTGACCTCCCCGCCTCCAACTTTGCTGGGGAGGGTTCAGGCTGTTGGGGTCAGGACCTCAGGATACTTCAGCTTAAGCCGCCACTCCAAACCAGCAGCTCTGCTTGACGCTTAGGATGTGAAGAGAAACAAGATGGCCATTGTTCTTTGGAAGTTCACTTCATGGTGGGAAAGACTCATGCATATTACAGTCCAGTGTGACAGAGGGACAGCAGAGGCACAGGGTGCTCGAGGAGTGTGGGGGTGTTGGAGAACTCAGCTCTGGTGTGACCCTTCAAGTATAGTAAGAGTTAGCCATGGAAAGGAAGGAGAGGGCTACTGCTTCAGACAGTGGGATCACCATGAGCGAATGGTATGGCATTACAGGAACTCACTGTGTGAGCGAAAAGAGGTCCACATGGCTGGGTCACCAGGGGCCTTGTGGACCATGCCAAGGAGCAATGATGAAGGGAGCCAACGCAGGGTGTCAGGTGGCCAGGCTTTTTGTTTAAAAAAAAAAAACAACAACTCATGGTGGCAAATGTGTGTAGAACAGTTCGGAAGAAGAGTCAGGACTAGATGTAAGGAGCCCACCAGCATGCCGTGATGGTGGTCTGAACTCTTGGAGGGAGGGTACAATCAGTGGCACTTTGGGATCTATGGTTAGGGAAGGGTGAAGGGGGGTAGTGACAGAAGGAGTGAAGAATGCCATCCATATTTCTAGTTTGGATAAATGTGTTTAAAGCCAAGAATGTTTGAAACCCAGAAATGAAGACTTAAAGGAAGCAGATTTTAGTGGGGACATCAGTTCTGTTTTGGACATGCTTAGTCTGAGGTGACTGTGGGATATCCAAGTGGAGATGTCCAGGAGGCAGCTGCACAGGACGTCTACCGTTCTGGGGAAGACGGAATATGACGTCATCAGCCGCGGGTGGCAGTTCACAGTGGGGCTGTCCACAGGGTATCCTGACGTGAAAGAGAGGAGGGAAAAAGGCTGACGAGCATGCCAGCACTTAAGACGTAGGCAGAGTGGAGTCCACAAAGGGGAATCAGAAGAAATAGCCTGAGAAGAAGCAGGGGACCCAGGAGAGGGGGCATCATGGAAGCCAAGAGAAGGAAGAGAGGCCACGGGTGAATTGGTCAGCACTGAGAGGGGCTGCTGAGGGCCCCCGTGGGACAAGAAGTGACAAGGCCCATTGAACTGGGCAGAACAGTTTCAGGCGAGTGGTGGTGGTGCTGAAGCTAACCGTCATGGCGCTGAAAGCACAAGGGGAGGTGAGAAAGGGGTAATTTTTCCCATAGACGTTTCCATGAGAAGAGAGGGAAAGAGACCAGTCAGTATAGATAATGATGAGACCCAAGCGCATCCATGCATCAGAGGAAGGAGAGGCGGTAGGAGGAGGTGCCGAGGACCCCAAGAGAGGAGAGGTGATCCATGGGGCAAGGTTGAGAGGCAGGAAAGGGTGAAATCTGGAGTTCGCAGATGCGACAGACCTTGACAAGCGCTGGGGCGACGCATGGTCAGGCTAGAGGGGTGGAGGTGAGCGGGATGAGGCCACTGCTGCCTCAGTGAGGCAGGAGGTGAGGTCTTCTGGGAGCTTGGGGGTGGGTCAGGGAGGGGAGGAGGCTTGCGGACAGCCATGAGCGTCTTGAATACTCTTTGAGGGAAATGGAAGAGAGAAAGCTGGCCAAGGACAAGCATTAGTGCTGGTGCCAGAAATACTCCATAATAGAAATAACTAACCTATTTTTAGTACAAAGAGCTAAGTTCTCCCCGTGCCTTTCTCTTCTCATTCATTCTTTCAACAATCTTACAAGGCAGGTATTATTCACTTGCTCGTCGCATAGCTGAAGAAAATGAGGCTTGGGAAGTGTCCAAAGTCAGAGATGTTGAGCAGTGAGGAGGTGGGGTTCAAACTCAGGGCTCACTGAGAAGCCCCACCCTTAATCCACTTGTTACCCTCAATGGCTTGAAGGCCCATTGGGGTTGGAGGTCAGGGGTTTTCAGGGACACCCTTTTGTGAGGTGTGTGGAGGTTTGTGTGTCTATCTCTGAAGGTGGACAGAAGGTGTGGTGGGATAGAGGTCACAGGAGAGGTTTGTGTGTCTATCTCTGAAGGTGGACAGAAGGTGTGGTGGGATAGAGGTCACAGGAGAGACAAGATGTGTCAGGGGTTGGAGTCAAGGAGACACTGGAATGGAGGGTTGCCGGAGGAGGGGAGGGGGTAAGATGCAGGGATGGCAAGGCCATGGGAGTGGGTAGCTGAGACAGAGTGGAGGTCATAACCAGGGACGAATGTCCTCCATGATATCGAGGTCTGGCCAACAGAGCCAGAGCTGAGAGGCAAGCCAAAGGAACCGAGGTCAGAGCTTCAAAGGAAAGAGGCTTTTGCAAGGTGATGGTTTAGAAAGGGTGGTGGGCACGCAGGAGAGTTTCAATACCACCTCGGGGCCATGTGTATGTGAAAGGGTTGCCCCATTGGGAGGGCTGCTGGGTGGCAGTGTTGTATGGGGGACTTTATTTCAGTCTAGGCTCAGCACTAGGAAAGACTTCCTCTGATGGCCAGGTTTTAGGGACTGACTTACACTGTGATGACATTGCTGGGCCCTTGCCCTCCGGAAACACGTGCTCATGGCCATAACTCATGGAGCTCTGGAGTCCTGTAAACTTTGGTCTCATTCCAAATTTTGCCCCTTCCTAGTTGTGTAACACAGGGCTTTGGGATTCGATCATGCCTGGCAGGTGGTATGGAGCTCCAAATAGGCTCATGTTCTTCCCCATGTGGCCTCCCCTCTCAGCTGCTGGTGAAAGGATAGAGCAAGATGGAGAGGAGATGGCCTTAGGGAACCCTCTCCTGGATCTCGAATCTCAGAGGCGTGGCTGATGCTTCGTCAGGGCCGCAAGGGAGCTGATTTGCAATGTTGGAGCCTTCTGCCCCTTTCCCCAGGTATGCTCAGGCCCTGGTTTTCTTTTTCTTCCAAAGGGTAACCTTCTGTGACTGGACAGCCAGGGCTGTTGAGCTGTCTGCCATCTCAAAACCCAGCTGTGAGCCAGCGTGGCAGGGGCTGTGCATGGAAGCCAGGAGCTGGGCCCCCAGAAGGCAACTGTGCCCGCCGGGCATCATGCTGCTGGCCTTTGCCACTCTGCTCAGCTGCCTGCTCACCTCCGGCCAGGCCAAGGTCTACAGTCGCTGTGAGCTGGCCAGAGCCCTCCAGGATTTCGGCATGGAGGGATACCGGGGATACAGCATGGCTGACTGTGAGAACCCCTCTCCCTTCCAGGCTGCCCCAGACTCCCCCCAGGTGCCTCCCCTTCCTCCTAGCCTCCCTCCCTGCTCTCACTCAGGGAGTGTGGCCTTGGCAGTTTTCTGAGCTTCAGCTCTCCTTTGGACATCAAATGTTCTATGATGGGTAGGTGACACTCAGCACAAGTTCGATACATTAGAGGCAGGCCACAAGCAGCCCGGTCAGCATTCTCCTTCATCCTCTACCCCTGCTGCTAAGGTCACCTGCCAAGGGAACAGAATAGCTTAGTACCCTAATCATAATGGCCACCAAGAGGATAGGATAGTCCCAATGACTTTCAGGGTAGACTGAGCAAACCAGTAAAACCAAACTTTTCAAGCTGCTGGTAGATTTTTGGGAAGCTGTGAAGTCCAGCCACATCTGGACTCATCTTGTTTTTTTTTTTTTTCTATTGCCTGCCTCCTTGCTAGCTCAGCTGTGTCTTCCTCGTCTTGCCTCTAAAGATCTGGCTCTTGTTCATTTAGCCCACAAAGATTTCTTGGGCCCCACTGTGTGCTGAGTGGTAAGGTAGCAGGGAGGCTGCTCTAGGAGTCAGGAGGCCTGAGGGAACAGTCTCGACTCTTGCTCTTTGGTAGCTGTGGTGACCTTGAGTGAGTCACTTGCTCCCCTGAGCCTTGATGGAGTCATTTGCAAAGTAGGTGGGAGTCCGGCAGCCCTGACCACCTTGAAGCAGGAGCTGAGGCTCAGAGGAGCTACTGTGTGGCGTCAGCACCGTGAGTGTCCTGGTCTGTGCTGGCCTCAGTCATCTGACCCTCAGGCCCGCGTCTCTACCCTATGCAGGGGTCTGTCTTGCTTACTTCACAAGTGGCTTCAATACAGCTGCTGTGGACCATGAAGCCGATGGGAGCACCAACAATGGCATCTTCCAGATCAACAGCCGGAAGTGGTGCAAAAATCTCAGCACAGATGTCCCCAACTGGTGCCAGATGTACTGCTCCGGTAGGGTCGGGCCTGAGCTTGGGGCTGCCTGGGGCCAGGCCTCTGCACCTGCCTTTGCTTCTTTCCTGGGGTGGTTTGCTCCCCTTGCCTTTATCTCTGAGTGGGAATCTGAGTGGGAGACCCTCTGGGCCTCTCAAGGAGAGTGGGATGGGGCAAGTGATGAGCATGGGTCCTCCATGAATCTGATTTGGGGTCCCAGATGGGAGACTGTTCTGAGAGATATAGGAATGTGGGGAGGGGAGTGATACAGTGACAGGGATTGAGAGACAGGATTGCATTTAGGATTGTGGAAGGCGTGTGTGTGTGTGTGTGTGTGTGTGTGTATGTATGTATGTGTGTGTAAGAGAGAGAGAAACAGAGTGTGGATGTCTAGCTCTGTCCCCTGTTCCCTCATCATGTTTCTCTGCCTCCCACCCCAGACTTGCTGAATCCTAACCTTAAGGACACTGTCATCTGTGCCATGAAAATAGCTCAACAGCCCCAGGGGCTGGCCAGCTGGTAAGTGACGTGGTCTGGAACCCCCCTGGGTGATGTGGCCAGGACTAGTGGACAGCAAGAGGGAAGTTTCTTTTCTGAGTGTTCACTTTGTCTTGGCCACCGTTCCCTGGCTTCACAATCTACTTTGCACGTGACTTTCGACCATAGAGATCGCTATTTACAGACAACTCGCTGAGTGTCAGGAAGGGTGAGGAATTCACTACAGCTCATGGAGACAAGCCTGGCTCTCCCAAAATGTGCCTATGTTAGGGTGCCTGCCTACAGGTCCGCCAGACCCGGGTCTAGCCAACCTTGTCCGTCTGTTTGCTTCTTTAACTGTGGCATCTTCATCTAAACTAACTTTGGTAGAAAAGCCCAAGATGCATGACGGATCAAGGAAGCAATTCCTTGCTTGAAGCATGGGTGGGCGCCCCAGAGCCTCATCCTGTCAACTTTCTCTTTTCCTGCCTGTTTCCCACAAGATGGCCTTTGCAGCCACCATCCTCACAGGCAAGGGAGTTGGAGGAGCATCTCATGGGGCACTGGACTAGATCTTTGGTTCGCAGAGCGGCGTCTGAGGCAGTGGCCCTACAGCCTTCTCTGATGGGGGTCTCACTGCTTAGTCTCCAACCTCCCTTTCCCCACATTTCTGGATGAGAGACCAGCAGGGGCAGAATGTGGGGAGGGTGAAATACACTAGGTGGCCGCAGCCTCGGAACTACAGACAGATGTGACTGTCACAAGGCAGGTAAAGCAGTCTGGGAGGCAGTGAATGTCAGCCCAGGAGTGGAGGGAAGGGAGAGAGACTAGAAGTAGGGGGATGGTGGGGGAAGCCTTTGCAGGAGTCCAGGTGAGAGATCCAGGGTCTGCACTAGGACAGTTGCAGGGGTGATGGACAGGAGGGGGGTTGGCTAGGAGGGCTGTGGAGGAGGCATGGGGACAGATGATATGTGGCAGTGAGGGAGAGGACAAGGTAGAAATGACTGTGAATCTAAAGAAGGTTCAGGGTGTGCCTTGACAATGGCTACAGCTTTGGAGATGTGTTGGCCTGGGAACAGTTGACATTCCAGAACCAGAATCTGGAGTGGGGCAGGATCGGCAGGACATAACACACAGCTATAAGGTTAGGAAGGGTGAGTGCAGGCTCGGCAGGAGTCTAAGGGTTTGAGGCCTTGGATACCCCACCCTGGGATGGAAGACATGGGTCCTTTTGGGTTAAAGGAAAGAACAGCTCTTTTATGCACTGGGAGTAAATTGATGTCAGGTATCACCCCTGAGATGTGGCTGAGGCTAATAACAGGCTGTGGTTCCAGAAAGTAGAAAGACGGTTTATTTCTTTCACCTGCACGTACTGAGAGTGCCAGGTTCTGTGCTGGGTGCTGGGCTTCAGAGAGGCTGAGAGCCAAGTCTTTGTCTTCGAGGGTCTCACAGTCTAATGGGAGAGACAAACAAGCCAGGTGACCACACTTCATTGATGGATCTATAGAGGCCCTTTAGGGGCACAATTGGTCATTGGGCTCTTTGACATTGACATCGTGGAGTTACCAAAGCTTGGAACCCTGACAACTTGGGACTGACTGCAGCACCCCAGGATCTTGTTTATCTTTCTTCCTCAAGATGCTAATGTGAGGCAGGAGCAAGGTAATGGTCCTGAAAGAGCCCGTAAACTGTAGTTACCAACAATTGAAAGACCAGAACCGGTAGCCAAAGAGACGTGGCTGTGGCTATAGTTCTGTCATTTACTAGCTACGGATCTTGGGCAAGTAATTTGCCTCTGAGTCTCAGTGTTTGATCTGGAGTATAGGGAACATGATACCTGCTTAATCTATGTTGTAGGGCTGCCAAGGGTGGGGGAGTGCAGACAAATGAGTGAGGGATAGGACAGTGTTATGTAGACTGTAAAGGGCTGTACGCTTGTAAGGTGGCATTACTGTCAGCAGAAGGAGCATGGTGTAAGAAAAGAGCACTGGACTAGGGCTCTGGACGCCAGGAGTCCAGGCCTTTGCCCCTGCCTTCCGGGTGAACTTGAACAAATTACCTTGTATCTCTATTGGTAAAATAAGGAGCCTAGACAGATGACTTTTTAAGGGCCATTGTCTTCCCTTTTTACCCCTTCTTTGTTAGTTAATGGGGTTTACTTGTCCCTTTTTCCCTTTCTAGCCCTTTTCCTTACCTCACTTCTGGTTTAGAGCCCACACCTCCTTCCTGTTCTTCTCTGAGCAGGGACTAAAGGCTGCAGCTGATTTGGTCTCTCCTCTTCCCCATCCCTCACCCTCAGGGAGGCCTGGAGGCGTCACTGCCAGGGCAAGGACCTCAAGGACTGGGTGGATGGCTGTGACTTGTAGGATCCTCTGTGGATGGACCGGGCCACGCACAGCAGGCTGGGAGATGTGGTGTGGTCTCTGATGCAGGCTTGGGAAGACAAGCCAACCAATAAAGAGTGGTTTAACCCAAGTGTGGTTCTCTGCTATCGCTGTGTTTCCTGATGGCATGTCAGAGCCAGAGCATCTCAGGGTTTCTTCACCGTCCAGCCGGGCTGGGCTGCAGGTGGGCTCCAGAAAGCCTACCATGGAAGTCTTGCTTCCATTTCTGGAGGCCTGGTTGGGGGGCGGAGGAGGGGGTCAGTGCCTCCCTTGCCCACGCCTGGTAGAGTTTCCTAGACCCTCTACCTGGATCTAGGTTTGCCAGATTTAGCTAAGCAAAAAACGATAACCAAAACACGATGCTTGAGTTAAATTTGAATTTTGGATACACAACAAATATATTTTACAACATGCGTGTCTCCAATATTGCATGGAATGCACTTATATTAAAAAACTATGTGTTATGTACCTGAAACTCAAACTTAGCTGGGTGTCTTATATTTTATCTGGTAACCTTACCCGGGTCTGGTGTGGTGTACCCCTGGCTTATCTGGGAGGGTCCTTGGGACATTTATTTTCTGTGACTCTGGTCACAGGTGTGGCCACAGTGCCCTGGCCCTCCAGTTGGTGACTGTTAACACACTGGCAGAAGCCAAGGAGGGGTGGTGGGTGGTGAGTGGAGACCACCACCCTGGGCTTCAGCTAGGTTCTCACCCTGCTCTCCAGTGTCCTCTAGTGGCAAGAGCTTCAAGTGCTGGTGGCCACCCCAGCCTGGGTAAGGAAGTTACCCCTGGTCCTGCTGACCCTTGCCGGGAGGCTGGAGGATTGGGTGGAGGGTGTGGATGGCTTTCAGGCAGCACACCATACTTCTCTGCTTTCCTCAATATGTGGGAAGCTCTGAAGGAGGCGGCGCTGTCTCCCACTCACCTCGAGCTCAGAGTCCTCAGGATGGATGTGTCTGAAGGAGGAAGGTGGGCAGAGTCTCAGGATCACTGTGGATGTGGTGGCAAGAGAAGTATCTGAGGTGATGTCTGAGAGTTTAAGCCCTGAGTTGAGACTGTAGATTCTTCTGGAAAGGACTCAGAGAACCCTGCAGTTCTCTGCACGGTTGGCGTCTCCCAGGGAGAAGCGATGACTGGGATGTTGACCGCCCCTCCCTACCAACCTGCCATCTCCAAATCCACTGGTCAGCAAACAGCAGAGGGTGTCTGAGTTCCACAGTTGGTGAGGCAGGCCAGTCTCCTGTCTGCTGCTGGCCTCGTGTTGGGTTGCTCGCATCACCAGAGTATAGTTGGCCCTGCCTCGTGTCCCACCTCCCCAGGGGAGCTTTTGACTCCAAGTCAAGGTGATGCTAAAGCTTGAGGGTTACTCACGCAAGTGGACAGTGGTGAAGGAGAAAGTCCTTGCTGGGAGTTGGGGGTCTGGGGGATCAATGATGAACGGATACATTGTCATTAAGTCTTAGGGAGATACTGCTCTCTTTTTAGTATCAAAGCAACACTGTGCCTACCATGTGCCACGCATCACTGAATCTAGACCCTAGAGCAATTATTATGATGGGGATCTCCTTGTTATCCCCATTCTACAGATAAGGAGACAGGAGAGATAAATTTGTACCCAGGTCAATATGATTCCATGTGTGCTCTTAGGTCATTGTACTTTGCAGAGAGGTGGTTGTTCTGGGTCACCTGAAGTCCGCTCTCTTGCTCACCTGGCTGGAGACCCTTGGCCCATTATCTCTGGATGATTCATACAGTCTATTTCAACTTCACTTTATGTTTCTGCTGCTTGCAATCAGTTGATTGCTCCACTGAGTGCCATTCACTCTGGAGTGGGTAGTGAGGCCCTCGGATAGATGCAAGAGTTGTTAAAAGGACTTGGAGGCTCTAGGCTGGTGTGATGGCCTTGGGGCCCCTAAAAATGGGACTGGGAAGCGGTCAGGCTTGGACAAAGGATCCTGGAGGCCTGGTGGTGGACCAGGAGCAGGTAGTGATGGAAGAGAAGAATCCGGGAGAGAGCCCTCATCTGTGCATGAGGGGTAAATGGTCTATATTTAACCTGGAAGTTTCAATTTCTAAGTGATGTGCTCAGGTTGAGGACAGTAACCAGGCTATGTCCTGGCATCTCCCTGCTTCCACATCACATTCTCGCCCCACATTCCATTGTTCATTATGGAATGATGAACAGTCTGTCTCACCTTTTTATTTAAATTTAAATTTAAATTTATTTTATTTTACTTTTTTGAGGGGGAGGAGGGGCAGAGAGAGAGGGAGACAGAATCCAAGGCAGCTCTAGACTCCGAGCTCTCAGCACAGAGCCCAATACAGGGCTCGAACTCACGAACCATGAGATCATGACCTGAGCCGAAATCAAGAGTCAGACACTTAACCTACTGAGCCACCCAGACGCCCCTCTTTTACCTTTTTAATATATCTGAAAACTGTCCCTTCTTTCCATCTCAGATACCACCATTTTAAACTCAAGCCCTTGGCACTTTTTTCCTAGGACGACTGCAATTTGGCCTTGTGAGGATGTCCCTTGCCATCCCGCCTCCTCCCTTCCAGTGAGCTTTCCACCCTGTTACTCCCTTGCATTCTGGCCACAATGACTTTTCTCACCTTCAGGTTAAAGACCAAGTTCCTCGGCTTGGTACACAAGATCTTTCACGAGGCCGGCTCAGCCAACACCTATACATCATCTCTTAATTGTTCAGAAAATTTGCTGTGGCTGGTTTGCATCCCTGGCATCCCTGGGTGTAGCATGCTGCTTCATATCTGTCACCAGCCCCTGCCACTCTTCCCCATCATTACACTCCAGCTGATCAATGCTGTCCTTTGAGGCAATAGGCTTGTTTTCAAAGAAGGGCTTTCACACCTGCCCTTTGTCTTCCTGAAATGCCGTTTCCTCAGATCTTTGCATGGCTATTCCTTTCTCTTCCACCAGCTCTTGCCTCCATCTCACTTCCTCAGATTGACTTCTCTGACCCCTGTAGCTGAAGGAAACTCCTCTTCCCTCCTGTCACTGTCTTACCTCCGTAGCGTGTATTACTGTCTGAGATGATTTCATGCACGTGTGAATTTACATACATCCTTTTTCAATCTCCTTATACTAGATTGTAAACACCATGAGGGCAGGAGATGGGTCTGTTCCTTCTATTTCCAGCACTTGGAATAGTGGCTGGCACATAGTGGGTTCTCAGTGCATGAATGAACCTGTTGAATGCATGACTGATGCATGAAAGAATGAATGGTAGGCGGTCAGCTAATGTTTGCTGAATCAGTGAATGAATGAGCCCTGATACCTTTCAAGAGAGCAGCAATTCATGCAATGGTATTAAGTACCAGCTATGTGTCAGGCCCTAGACATCCTTCAAGATGGACCTGCTGCCCCTCCTGAGCCCCCTTGGGGAGACTTTCTACCTCTCAGGGGGACCACCCTGGCCACTTTTCATCCAAATGCCACTTACTTCCCCCTTGGCTATGTCTTATAGACAGAGTTCAGCATGATTTGGGAAGAGCTGGCACAGTGTTCCCCCTGCCCCCTCTTTTATCCTCGCTGCCTGACCCTGGGAAAGTCACTCCACCTCTCTGAGCCTCAGTGTTCCTCAGGGGCCAGAAGAGCTGATAAAGGCCACCTTGCAATACTGTGTCGATTGCATAATATAGAGCAGTGTGGCACCTAGTACAGGGCCTGGCACAGCGGGTGGAGGGGGGGGTGCGTTAAGAAATAGTGGCCCCTTGTTTGGTTTCCCTGGGCTCTGGGGGTCCACCTGGGGAGGAATGGTAAGCATATGTCCTGCCTATCTTGGGATCTGGGGCATACCTGGGAAGCCTGCGCCATGTCCGCAACAGTTTGCTAAGACAGAGGAGGAGAAGATGGGAGACTGTGGGATGGGGAAGCAGAAGGAGAAGGAGAATGGTCTGGACAAGGTCTGGCAGAGATTTCTACAGAAAGCAGGGAGAAAGTACGTTATTTTCCCTTTTTTTAGTCCAAGTCAGCTCATCCTTGACTAGTGTGGCTCCAGGAGACTAATGGGACGTGGGATTTTCTAGATCTTCTGTGCTGAGTGGGATGAATGCTCCAGAAGATGATTGGCTCCCTGAGGTGCTATCTCTTCTCTACCTGGAGGTACATCTGAAGCAGGCAGAGACTCCTGGCAGCTGAGGGGGGATTCTGCCAAGCTCTCTTCTTGAGCTGGGTTCCTGTGCTCTGTCTGGGAGACTCGCCATCTCAGCTGGGTACACCTATTTTCTTTCCACTCCAGGCACTGGCCTGAAGCTTCTAGAGTGGGAAGCTGGCCTGGTCAGACGGGGTCCAGCCCTTACTGAACACCTCCTATGGGGGGGCATATGTGTGACCACTTCCTGCCTATGGCCAGCATTACAAACTGAGCACAAGCCTCTCTTCTACAATGTGCCCAGAATGCTTCCTGATGCTTCAGTAGAAGCCACTGTCCATGAGTTGGCAGGTAAGAAGGGCGGGGCTTCATCATGTGTCAGGCACCACACTGGTTCTTTCCCTAGTTCATCTCATTACCCTTACAGCATGCTTAAGAAGTAGAGATTTTTAGGAGGAAACTGAGTTCCAGAGAAGTTCTAGAGTTTGGCCATGGTAATGCAGTTGGTGGAGCTGGGATTCAGATGGAGCCATTGGACCTCAAAGGCTGTGCTTTGTCCTCGGCATGTCAGGTCCCCACAGCTGACCAGCCCATGGACTCTAGCTGGCGGGACTCCTGGGGTTGGGAAAGCACAGTGGAGGGAGGGCAGTGGAGAAACTAGCCCACTTCCATTCATCAGGGGTCTGTCTTTCCCAGATCCCCCAGGTTCTTCTCTGCCTCTAAGCCTGTGCTCTGGCATTTGCCTGTCAGGCAAGGCTTTAGCCAAAACCTGCACCACCTCAGCCCTGCAGACACACGGGGTACACTGTGCCTTGTGCACCTTGGCTGTAGCTCTCTCACCGCTCAGATTCTTGCATGCACATCT